GTAAAGTCCCCCCCCCCCTCCCCCCAAAAAAAATCTAGCTTTAACATAATTTCTAAATATTTTACAGTGCCAAAATTCAGCCTTAAAATATTCAACAAATTTATGCTCCAAATCATTTGACTTTCAGGTCAGTTGGATGTTGTCCATGATCTTCATGCAGATATAATTAACCTGCTGCAGCTTTTGAACCATGAAATGCTGCAGAGGTTCAGTTGGTGTTTTCAGTTTTGCAATATTTATAGTGTTTTCCATCATCAGCTCTTTTTGAGGCTACCTGAAATCATCTCTTCAAGCACAGTTTTTTTTTAATGTACACATACATACATAGCTCATATTTTCACTTTCCATATATGTTTTAGTTCTGATTTAATGCACCAAAACAGATGTCAGACTACAAGTGCTGGTGCACATACACCTAATAAGGGAATTATGTTAAGCGCTGACCTCATCAGCTCCAGACACACTTTGGTGGGTCTAAAAAACGTAATAATAATAATCACCTTTGTTTGGCCAAGTATGTTACACACAAGGAATTTGTTTACAGTACAGAACCAAGGCAGCCATCTGCGGCACCAACTCACACCACTGGCTCTGACCATTGGGGGCAACTTGGGGGTTCATTGTCTTGCCCAAGGTCACTTCCACATGTGGACTGCAGACACCGAGATTCAAACCTCCAACCCTCCGGTTGGGAGATGACCACTCTACCCACTGAATCACAGTCGCCCCCAATATTTCTATTTAAATATTGACTTGTGATATGTGTTCAGAATACAAAAAAACTGTGATGTGGTTCAAACTTGTGGAAAACATGTTTTGTCTGATTTTAAAACTTCTACGAGTACCTTAAGTTGGATTCTGGGGACATTGAGATTTAAGTTTTTATATAGAGTTAGCAGCTTGTAGCTATTGTTTTCACAGTAAAAAAACAGACAGTGGAAAATATTTTACAACATTTTAATGAGATGACAATAAGGCATTAAAGCCCAGTCTCTGTCTGCTCCCAGGTTTCAATGGTAGAAGGAGTGGCCTGGTGCTATCAGTACCTTTGCTGGTCATCAATATGACATCAAAAGCCCACTCAACACATCAGCGCTGCTGGCTTGGTTCCCCACATGGATACAGAATATGGCCTGGGCTACTGTGGGTTCTGTTCATAGGTATCAGCCCAAGATCATGGGCCCAGGAGGGCGCCCAGCCTCAGTCCATCAAAATCGAGGGCGACATCACCTTGGGTGGATTGTTTCCAGTGCATGCTCGAGGGCCCGCTGGGGTACCTTGTGGCGAGATCAAGAGAGAAAAGGGGATCCATCGACTGGAAGCCATGCTGTATGCCTTGGACCAGATCAACAGTGACCCAGACCTGCTGCCTAACATCACCCTGGGAGCTCGGATCCTGGACACCTGCTCTAGAGACACCTACGCCCTGGAGCAATCGCTTACTTTTGTCCAGGCGCTCATTCAGAAGGATACCTCAGATGTGCGCTGCTCCAATGGAGAGCCTCCAATCATACCCAAACCAGAGAGGGTGGTTGGGGTAATCGGGGCATCTGGCAGCTCGGTGTCGATCATGGTGGCAAATGTGCTCAGACTGTTTGCGGTGAGATTTCTTTTACACCTTGTATTGATTTAACAGTTTCTCTTTTCAGTATATAAAGTGAGGTGAACCCAAATGAAATCCATTATTCTTCACTGATTTCTCTTTTTCAGTATAATCACAAAGAAAATAGGGGCACATGAGTTAGAATGGTGGTTTTCAAGGGGTTCATGATCTGAAGAGTCCCAAGATGAACTATTGGATACTTTCACCTCTTCAGGCCATTAATATCCTTAAAGTACTTTTTTGCTGTTGTAACAACATACCTTCAGCACATAGTCATTCTGATATAATTCATAAGTCATTTAAAATGCTGAATAGTTTAAATGAATTACTTTTGAATTACTATTTGGGTACACTTCACAGGTGTGTGGATCCATTGCCACTGGTGTCATCTAGTCAGACCCTTTTGACATTTTTTGTGCTGTTCTGACACTGTATAAACTAAACGTACATATAAAGAGTATTTGTATTAATTTTAAATGGTGAGTTGGAGACCTATTCCTAATAATGCCATTTATTTTATATCATTCAATATTTTAGTGGTTTTGCTGTGATATTAATCATTATAAAAACACAGTTGCAATGCTTATTCAGTTCCCATGAACATAAAAATGCATGTATCTTAAAAATACAGGTTTGTTTAGTGTTTAGTAATGTTAGAATTGCCTCAACAGTTTCTGTCACTTCCTGATGCTGAGACAATTTCAACAGGACTACTTGTGTTACTGATACAGCAAGTTAATTGGTACAGATGCTTCTAAGTGAAACATTTGATTTGCCCTGGTGACAGTGACATGGACTCCTTTGGACACTGATATCATTTGTCATTCAATAAACCTGTCAGTCTACAACCATGGTAGAAGTGTTTAGATCTGGAGAGAGTTTATTCCCTGAAACACAGGGGATATCCACAGAATTTGATCTTGATAGGGTTAACACAAAGCAGAAAATTTAAGCTGAATGCAGCCATCAAAATTAAATTAAATATATTGTAACCTTTTTTCTAGTCTTTTGATTGCTTTCTCCCTCTGTGCTTAATGTAATTTGACTAAAACCCATTTAATCCTTCCAGATTATCTGTGAAATTGTTCTATCGCTCTTCTCCCTTCACTACCCCTTGTGTCTACCTTTCTCTCCTCCTCCCCTCCAGAGGGCCCAACACTAAGCCATGGGGGAGCGCCATTAGCAGGGTTAGCAGGGTCAAGGTTGAAACTGTCAACATAAACTCTATCTTTAAAGATGTAGCACACCATTAATTAATCTTTTCATCCATTTTTCCAAACAAATGCCTTTTCAGCTGCGAGTCCTACCATCTGTATTTCACTGTAGTTGGGTATATCCTCAGCATAATCATCTCTGGGCAGATTGCAGTATGAAGTTGCTTCCATTCTGAGAATTACTGAGATCACAGGCTGTTCGAGACAAACTCTCTCTAGTATAGTCCAGTTTTGGGATTATGATGCACTACAATTTGTTAGTATTAATGTGGAATGCCTCCATTTAGACGCTGTTATGGTTTGGTCTATGAGTAAATGGAGTGTCATCCTCTGACATGGCTCACTGCCTCTTCCTATCACTCTTTTAACTTGTGGATTCACTACCAGCCTAATAATGAGCTTTGCTCATGTTTTACACTTGACCTGAATCTTTCATCACAATTGACCCATCCATGTGTCTCAGATCCCCCAGATCAGTTATGCTTCCACTGCCCCGGAGCTGAGCGACAACAGCCGCTATGAGTTCTTCTCTCGTGTGGTGCCCCCTGATTCCTACCAGGCCCAGGCCATGCTGGACATTGTCAAAGCCATGGGCTGGAACTACGTTTCCACACTGGCCTCAGAGGGCAACTATGGAGAAAGCGGCGTTGATGCCTTCCTCCAGATATCCAGAGAAGCAGGTTGTGTGTCTGGCTGTATGAATGTGAATTCAGTGCTCTGACAGTAAGGGATTACTCATTCATAGTGTGTTGTTTTCACCCATTAAAAAACAAAGACAGAAAGCCCTTTAATATATCAGGACTAACAGAGCAAACAGATGTTATCACCTCATATGGGCTTAAAAGCTCAATGCTGTTCCTCTGGTTCAGAATTCATATAAATAAATTATATATACTGTAAATCAATAACTAACAATGCTGGACAGTTCACTGCTGTACCAGCATGTTGTTTTAGTCACATTGATGGTGCTGTTGTTCCACCACTTTGGCCCAGACTGAAGCATGAAGCTAACATTTGTGATTCTGAGTGAGAGAGAGCTCAATAAATATTAGATGAGTTGCTCGTGAACTTAGGTACAGGCATGTGCAAACATGCAAGTCAAATTTTTAACTTCTCCAGTGCTTGGGATTTAGGACTAAATAAACTATGATGGTGAACAACCATGAAGAAACATTGCATCTGTCAGTGTTAGTATTGCCACTGTGATTAGCATGCTGACGTTAGCACAAAGCTGCCAGCATAACTATAGGCTCTTAGTTTTGAAATTAATTGTTATTACTCAATATAATAACTTACTATATGTGATTCTCAGAATTAGGTCTGATGCCCTTTGTCTACACTAACATGACTAAGATCCTACATGCTAGTGGCTTTGTGAGGCTGTACTTAGGCACAGCGGCACTTTAACCAAAATGCTAATGTCAGCAGGCTAACACAGCATTAGGTTTGGAGGTATTTGGTCATACTGTATATCACTACATGAAAATTCAGAGGATCACTATTCATCATGAAGGAGAATATGAATGCCTCCATTACTACAGCATATATTCCTTTAGTAATCTATCAAATACATTTTAAGGCTTCAGATATGATCTTGATTATTATGTTATGTTGTTATGCAGTGAGGGATAAAACAGGAATGTCCAGTAGTGCAAACATATTTCCCATGTTTCTGACACAGGAGGGCTATGTATTGCACAGTCAATAAAGATTCCCAGAGAGCCCAGACCAGGGGAGTTTGATAAAATCATCAAGAGATTGATGGAGACCTCTAACGCTCGTGGTGTCATCATCTTTGCCAACGAGGATGACATCAAGTGAGTCAAGCTTTGCTGCATCCCATATTAAACACAGAAACTCAGCCATATGATAAAATGTGCACAAGAGTACTTTTGTTAAATTACATTTTCAAGTTCCCTGTTTGATAATCACTGGCCACTAACAGAGGAGAAAAGTAGAAAGTGTATAATGAAGTACAATCTGCCCTCTTTCAGACGGGTGTTGCAGGCTGCCAGAAAGGCCAACCTTACGGGGCACTTTCTGTTTGTTGGCTCCGATAGCTGGGGGGCCAAAAACTCTGCAATTGAGGACCAGGAGGAGGTGGCTGAGGGAGCTGTCACCATCCTTCCAAAAAGAGCCTCTATTGATGGTAGGGCCAGAATCAATAAGAATATTACCTACATGTGAGCCAAACAAACTGGATGCAATATGTACAATAGTCTGTGACATACTGTATGATGCAGATGGGGTCTAATCCCAGTAACAGAAATGAATGACTGTTGTGATTAACCATCAGTGCAATAACTACTGAGTAATTAGAGTCATAGCCATATTTCACTGTTCAAAATGATCATCAACCCCCCCCCCCCCCACCTCCACCTCAAAACTTTTAACAAAATATGAATACTGATAAACTACTACCGTACATCAATCAGAATGCTATATTTCAATGGATGCATGACATCAAAAGTGAACTTTGTGGTTTGTGAAATGATTTAGGGTTCGACCAGTACTTCACTTCACGGTCTCTAGAAAACAACAGAAGAAACATCTGGTTTGCAGAATTCTGGGAGGACGACTTCAAGTGCAAACTAACCCGCCCTGGTGTAAAATATGAACCTGATAGAAGAAAATGTACAGGTATGATCCAGGGAGGGGGGTTAGTGAACTTTTTTTGTGTCATCATCATCATCTAGTGTGACACCTTTGTTGTCTGCCAGGTGAAGAAAGAATCAGTCGAGACTCGCAGTATGAACAGGAGGGCAAAGTGCAGTTTGTAATCGATGCTGTATATGCCATGGCCCACGCCTTACACAGCATGCACATGGATCTGTGCCCTGGCTCCACGAGTGTCTGTGAGAAGATGGACCCTGTGGAAGGACGGGTCCTCCTTCAATACATTCGCTCTGTCAGTTTCAATGGTGAGCGTTTGACTTTCAGTCTGTGTTTTCTCACCATTCTCATTTCTTTGAAATAACTTAGGAAGAAACCTTGAAAGATTCATGTTGCTTCTCCATGGATGCTCTTCATTACCAGAGAGGATTCATAAAAGAGCCAAAAAAAGTTTGGCAAAAGAGAGGCCAGCTTGAAGATAGAAGCACTGAGATGTTTCTGTTAACGTATCTAGCTACAGACCATTTTTTCAAAAAATATCACCTCCCTAGGGCTGCCTCTTCACTCTTCTATATACACATCACTCCTGCTTTTCATCCTTGTCTTTCATAAAAAAAGTCAGATTTTTTTTAAAAGTGTTTTTTGAAAGCATCCTATTTACTGCTTTCCTCTTGCTGAATGACCTTGTCTTGGAAGGAGGATTTTTTGATCGAGCGCCTGCAGGGACCTGAGAGGAACATTCAATCACGTTAGGGCAACAGAGTGCACTGAAAGACTGTAAATGTGGAGCCTTCACTAAAGAGCATCTTGCACTCAGCTTTCATAAGACTGGAAAGACAGCAAATGCAAGCTGTATTTAATGGTGTTTGGGTGTTTTTTTCTGCAACTAAAAATGGGGGTGCATTTCTCCACCTTAGAGAGTGTGAATTCCTTGTCTCCGCTGACTCAGTTTTTTGCTTTTTTTTGACAGTGCACTGGTAATTAAAACTCTGTCTTCATCAAACAGGCAGTGCAGGAACTGGAGTAATGTTCAATGAGAATGGAGATGCTCCTGGGCACTATGACATCTTCCAGTACCAACTCTATAATGTCAGCAATCCTGGCTACAAGGTTATAGGCCAATGGACAAACCACCTCAGACTCAATGTAAATATATTTATTTTTTGTATATTTGAATACAACTTGAACTACTACTACTACTACTACTACTAATAGGTTAAAATATTGAAAAATACACATATTTGCTTTCTTGACGACTGATAAATGACAAGATGGATACTAGGATAACCATCTATCTAGAGCCAGCAGCTGGTTAGTTTAGCTTAGCATCAAATCTAGAAAGAGATGAAAACAACTAGCTTGGGTGTGTTCAAAGGTAAGAAAATCTGTCTACCAAAACCCAAAAGCTTACCATTTAGCATGTTATAGCTTATTTTTTGTTTACAAAAATGTATGCATAAAAGGTTCGGCTGTGGTTTTTATGGATGGTTATGTACCAGACTATTTCCTGGCTGGGTAGGGTAACTTTCTGGAATTATCAAGAACCAGTCTAACCTTTATCTTGTTTCTGGTTGTTAGTCTATGCCAAGATAAGCTAAGCTAGTTCTAGCCACATAGTTATCATATGGACATTATAGTGGTCTATCAATCTTTTTGGGTAGCCCAATTCTTGGTGGGAAAGCAAATGTAAAGTCTATTTTCCAGTGTCAAACAAATAGTCTGGCACATTACCCTCTGTAAAACTGAAACATTTATGCTCTAGTTGTTGTATGGATTAAACAAACAAACTTTTAACATGCTAACTGGGGAGTTTTAGAGGTGCTAGCAAATGTTAGCATTCTTCCTTGTTTCCAGTTTTTACTGTATGTTAAGCTTACGCCAAGTGCCTGCTGTCTCTCGCTTCATACTGTAGTATGCATACACGTATGTAAATGATTTCAGTCTTCTCCACTAACTCGCATCAAAAAAGCAAATAAGTCTTTCCCAAAATTTTTAATTCCAGAAAACTCATTGATGTAGAATGTTTCTTGTTCTCAAACTGTGGTTCCTCTAATGGAAGACAGTTTCTACCCTTTTACAGAGTCTTAGTGCTTTTATACTCAAAGTAAAGTAAGGCAATCCTTGTGTGTTTGTACATCCATGCTAGCCAGAGGAGATGCAGTGGTCAGGTGGTGACCATAAGATCCCTGAGTCGGTGTGCAGCTTTCCTTGCAAGCCCGGTGAGAGGAAAAAGATGGTGAACGGTGTCCCCTGCTGCTGGCACTGTGAGCTCTGTGATGGCTACCAGTATGTGCTGGATGAGTTCACCTGCGACATGTGCCCCTTTGACATGAGGCCCTTAAAGAATCACACGGGCTGCCGACCCACACCCATTATCAAGCTGGAGTGGAGCTCTCCTTGGGCCATCATTCCCGTATTCTTCGCCATCCTAGGTATCCTGGCCACCACTGGAGTCATTGTTACCTTCATCCGCTTCAATGACACGCCCATTGTCCGGGCTTCTGGCAGAGAGCTCAGCTATGTGTTGCTGACAGGCATCTTCCTCATCTACCTCATCACCTTCCTCATGATAGCTGAGCCCAGTGTGGCAGTGTGTTCTTTACGCAGGCTACTGCTGGGGCTCGGCATGTGCATCAGCTATGCTGCCATGCTCACAAAGACCAACCGGATCTACCGCATCTTCGAACAGGGGAAGAAGTCAGTCACACCTCCTAAGTTCATCAGCCCCACATCTCAGCTGATTATCACCTTTATACTCATCTCTGTGCAGGTAAGCGCTTGAATCTTCTTTCACACATATCACCTGGATCCTTAGCAGCATTCTAATACTTTACTCTCTGCAGTTACTTGGTCTCTTCATCTGGTTTGGTGTGATTCCACCACACACCATCATCGACTATGAGGAGCTGAAGCCTCCAAACCCAGAGCTCGCCCGTGGACTGCTCAAGTGCGACATATCTGACCTGTCCCTCATCTTATGTCTGAGCTACAGTATTGTACTGATGATCACTTGTACAGTGTATGCAATCAAGAGCAGAGGAGTTCCTGAGACCTTCAATGAGGCCAAGCCCATTGGCTTTACCATGTACACAACATGCATCATCTGGCTGGCCTTTGTGCCCATCTTCTTTGGCACAGCACAGTCAACTGAGAAGGTAGAAAACTGAACATTTTTACAGGCTTTACTGGTTCTTTTACTGGGATTGAACTCTAGAACCTTTAAAATGGCTATAAAGTGCAATTGCAACTCAGCTTGTTCATTGTTCTGTAGCTGTCAAGTTAGTGTTTACTTCCACTGTAGAACAGCACCTTCAGTGTCTCGATCTAGTGCTGTCATGCTTAAGGCAATATAATCTCAAGGTTAAGTAAGTGTTCTTTTCTCAGTCTGAAGTTAATTATTTGGATCATGTGATATCAGCTGCTGGAGTGGCTATGGATCTGGGGAAGATCCAGGATGTTGCAGAGTGGTGCAGTGCAGTGCTCAGTCAATCAATCAGGTGTGGGATATGACTTGTGAGGAAGCTCTTGTAGTGCTAAAGCAAACATTAGTTTCTGCTCCAGTGGTGGGATATGCAGATTTTTACAAAGCCTTTCTTCCTGGAAATTGATGCTTTGGGGTTGGGTGCTGTTTGGTCATAGGAACGTGAGGGACAGTGGCGACCAGTGGTATACAACAGTCATGGTCTTTGCCCTTTGGAGCTTAATGTGGAAAATTACAGTCAGTGTTTCCCACAGCCTACTTGTGGCAGCAGGCTAAAGCTAAAAGTGAAGATTTCATAAATTTATTATTACTAATTTTTTCAATTAAATCCAGTAATTTTATAGTGCCAGCTGGACATGTAATCTATTGCACAGGCAGTGAATAAGTGATATGGGCCGCCTGTTGGTGAGCATTTGTTTATGTGCTGCTCTGCTTGTTGTGCAGCATGTTAAATGCTGTTAGGTTGAGATAATGCTGTTTACCTGGACATGAGTACATTATGTGGGTTGACGGGGAAAAAAATGAAACAAAGTTACTTGTGAATGCTGAATGTACTGCTACACTGCATCTTGTGTAGCAAATTACACTGTGCATATGTGTGTTTCTGCCTAGAAGGAGAAATTAGATAAAGAAACTTGTTTGTTTATCTGAAGATAGATGACAGTTCACAGACGTTTCCCATCCAGTTTGATTGAGGCTGAAAATATCTGCCAGGAAGAATTTATTTAAAATTTTCATTTTCAAATTCAAACACAATGTGTGCAAAAAGTGAAGGGGTTTGAATGCTTAAATAATGGGCTAGTTACAAGACACACTAAGAGTAAGAGAGAAAATGAATCCCTTGGATGAAATCTGAGGCTTTTTGCCTGTCATTTCATATTTGCTTCCTGCTGTACTCACAGGACACCCTCCTCCACTGTACTCAGTTTAATTTAGTGTGTGGTCTTTGTACTTTCTACCATCACAAAGGATGAGAAAATTGGGGGAATATTTTAGAGATTCACTTAGACTAATAGAGAGCTGTATTATGAATCGGTCAGGCTCAAACAATTAAAGCTTGAGGTGCCTTCAAAGTCTTTTTACCTCCTCTGAATGGAAATGCAGTGAATTACAAAAAGGGATGGAGGGTAAAAAACGAGGTCAGATGAGCTGAGGGACCCCTCATAGACCAATTCAGCCATTTCATTCAATTAATCATCTTTTAGAAAAAGAGCTAAACATAGATTAACTTTTGTCTGGCTTGGGAAAATAATGACTGTCATCCTGCCATCATATGTATGTGATTTACCTTTCTGTATTTACATATGGAAGAAACATTCACGGAATCCAAGCCAGTCTTTCTGATCGCCTCGAGCCAAAGGCATAAACGCTATTCACTTTACTCATAAATCACCCAGTTCCTTTTAGAAATAGCGAGGTCAGTGAGAGGGGCTGATAAAAGGCATGATGATAAAGCTGATGAGATAACCAGGATGTGCAGCTGCTGAGGATAGTTTGAGATTCTGATTTATTCATGGTACAAACATCTTTTATTTATTGGACATATGGCTTGATACATTCATGACCTGTACAGTTTGTCTGGAATAATGACTCTGTAATTTATTGGTGATAGATCAAATCAAATCAAATGTTATTTGTATAGCGCCAACTCACAACAAAAGTCATCTCAGGACACTTTACAAAGTAAGGGCTAGACCTTACTGTTATCAATATTATTACATAGGGAAAACCCAACAAATCCCCCTTGAGCAAGCACTTGGCGACAGTGGAGAGGAAAAACTCCCTTTAACGGAAGAAACCTTCGACAGACCCCGGCTCTTGGTGGGCGGCCTTCTGCCTCAACTGGTTGGGGTGAGTGGATAGAGGAGAGACAAAAGAAGAAAAGCAACAAGACACAACAATCAAACACTGATCAGGTCGATGTGGCTGGTGACTGCTCCTCAGAGACGTAGAGCTCACAGAAGTCATTTCTCATGATTGCTGTTGGATTTGCAATAGTAGGACTAGTCATGGTCAAAGCTCATAAACAGAGCCTCCTTTCCTGACTACATACAGTATACCAGGCTGTCAACCATTCATCGGGGGGGAAACACAGTCTCCTGTGCTGTGATATGGAAATCATACAGCACTGTGGCAACTTATAGGATATTACATACATGTTTCATGCTTAACACACACATGAAGAATCATGATCGATCACAAGAAATACATTTTACATGAATTGATAATGTGTTTATATTTTTTTCTGACCTGCTGCATCTCTGTCACAGATGTTCATCCAGACCACCACCCTGACAGTGTCCATGAGCTTGAGCGCCACAGTGTCCCTGTGCATGCTCTACGTCCCCAAGGTCTATGTCATCATCTTCCACCCAGAGCAGAACGTCCAGAAGAGAAAGCGTAGCTTCAGAGCTGTCGTACAGGCAGCCACTGTGTCCACACGCCTATCCCAGAAGTCCAATGACAAACATAACGGAGAGTCCAAGGGCGAGATGGACAGATCTCAGTGAAATATCACAAATGAAACTCCCATGTTTCCATCACCTAGTATCACAAGGCAATACAGTGATAGCTGAGGATCCAAAATTATAGGGGAAAAAAAAATCAGCATTTAATTTTAACCTGGATTGTCTCTTTAAATAGGAAATGTGGACTGAAATGCCAGCAATACATTGCTGGATGTTGTTTCTTCTCATGCTTATTTAGATTTCTCAGAGCTACTAAACCTAGAACAAAGCACAAAAACAAACAAATGTACATTTACACATGGACTGGGATGGTGTTGCACCATCCTGAAAGAACTGCAAGCAAAATTGTATTAATATTTGTAACAACACCCACATTTTCCTCTTATAACTGACAAGGAGGTACCGTTATTAACTCAGCGTGGAAAATGCTGTTCATGAAAAAAAAAAATGTTAAGCTTAAGTGGTGACCTCTGCCCTAAGGGAAGAGCTCAGGGCTGATGAAATGCTACCGTTTACTGGATCCAAAAAACACTGCATGTATTGTTTTATGAGCACATGACTTTTTTGAAATACTGTTTGCATGGGATGTTGTGATTATTTTTTCTGATTGCACTGGAAGGAAGTAGCAGTTAAAAATGCCCAGTTACTATTTCTAAAAGGCCCTGGGAAGGTGCAAATAACCGCTAAACTATGAGGCTCAGAGGTCAGTTTATATGGCACCATGTCAAAATAACAGACAAGTTACTGTCATGTTAAGAAAGCTTCACTCTGTAAGCTTTATTTGATTTTGTGCCATGAAAAGCTTCTACACTACAAGAAAACATTACACTTCATTTACCATGAGCTAACTCTGAGAATGAACAGGAGTCCCTTGTCTGCACTGTACTTCTTGTTAGTTAATCACAACGTCCAACTCAGGTTTAGTGTTCTTCTTCAGGATTATTACGCTCTGTACTGGCACGGCCGTTTCACTACAAATTAATTCAGTCTGTGCAGTCACTATGTGCAGTGCATTTTTTCTCACTGTGAAAAAAGGCTGCAAGGTTCATGCCCTCATGTGAAAAGCATTATACTGCCCTCTATAGGAGAGCACAACTCAAGTCAAGTGTTTGTCATATGCACAGTGAGGAAATGTTTCCCTGTACAATGAAATTCTTACTTTGCAGTCTGCATGAATGCCACACAATATAAATGAAATGTAAAGTAGATATGTAGGTGACACAAAAGCTAAATCACAAAGTCTAAGGCATTTTAAAACAGCCAATGAAGGAAGCATAATGAAAAATACAAGAACATAATGTAGTGAAGAGAGAGTGTATGCTACATGGGAGTTGTGTGTGCAAATACTCAGCAGTGAGTGTGCAATTATGCATGTGCAAAATGAGTATGTAAACAGTACAGATGGAATTACATGAGGTAGATCCTGAGTCAGCTGTTTAGAACTCTGATGGCAGAGGGAAAGAAGGTTTTTCAGTCTAGAAGTCCTGCATTTCACACTCCTGTAACTCCGGCCCAAGGGTAGAAGTGTGAACAGTCCATGCTCGGGGTGGGTGGAGTTTTTGAGGATGGAGGCAGCTTTCCTATGCACTCTGCAATGCTTGGTGCTCTGCAGAGAGGGCCCATGGCAGTAGTGTTGCCATATCAGATAGTGATACAGCCGGTCAGGATGCCCTTGACGATGCAGCTGCTTTTAGCCTAGCATGGAGCCCTCCACTCTTGCGTCTCTGTCTCCGGTGTGCTTTCCTGGTGTCGGCTTGCTCACTCGAGCTCCGTGTTTCAGGACCTTCCTGGCGGTGGCGCACAATGAACTGTAGCTCCAGTGGTATGAAGCCATCAAATTCCAAAAGGCTGAGCTGGCGATATCCAGCAGTGCACAAATGTCATACACTGCAGAAACAGCGAAAAACACACACAAAAAAGAAGAAAAAGCTGGCATTCGGAAGCGGAACGGTCAAACGTCAGCCACAGAGGGCACCACGTTTATGTGAAATGAAGGAATGATTTGTGGACCCCACAGAAGCATTAATTAAAAAAAAGTTTATTGTTTGAGTTGGTTTTAGCAGGAGTTTTAAAACACACACACACACACACAGAGTACAGCAGGTTCTCACTAAAAGCTCAGCACCTATCACCGTAGTTCCAACTTTCCATCAGAAAGAAAGTCTGGTTTGGTGCTGAGCGACAAACGCTGTGAATCTGCACCGATGTGCTACTTCACAAGCAGCATCCTAACCTTTGACCTGACATCTGGGGAAGGAGATGTTCAAAATTCACTGCAGGAAGTCGTCTATAGTCACACAATTTGCAACCTTGGGTGGAGGCCTGGTGACATTTCTCCTTTTAGCTTTCATCAGTAGGCGAACCTCTGATAAAGGAGACTGGAGTGGAGCATTCAGTTAAGGACTACGGCAGTCACATTTCCACTGTAGGTTTTCTGTCCACACGTTTTGATGTGGATATTTCCTCACAGACTTTTATTTAATTCATCACTATGCTTTGACACATAGATATTGTTTTGATGTGGACATTTCCTCATCACTATGCTTTGACACATAGATATGCCCACTAATGTCATAACATTTACTGAACAGCAGCTACTAGCAGCCAACTTTGAGAAGTCCTAGAGGTCCTGAATAAACAAGGAGACCTTGAATTAAGATGATTTTATCTGCTAAAAAAGTCTTAAAAGGCTTAATTACAGCACTGCTGCATTGCACAATGAATGATCTGAGCTAATAAGTCCAGACAAAGCCGAGATGGATAATAAACGCTTCTACCACCAATCGTTAATTTAATGCTTAAGTAATTCAAATCAAGAAACACCTATTTGACACGTGACAGAAAAAAAGGATACAGGCTGGATAAATTTAGTTCGTCCTCCCAGTCCATCATAACCAGTTTTCACCTGCAAAGAGAAGCATTTTCTTTCATCAAACCAATAAAAGTACAATTTGCATTTTAAATTAAAGACTCTGTGCAAGTGGCTGCATTGTACATACAACTCCAGGCTTCCCCTGAGGGTCCAACATGCTACCCAACGTCTTCTTTCTGAAGAGGAGGGAATTCCTCAGCAAAGGATCGATGGCTCTATCCTCATCTCGAGGCTGAGATATGGGAAAAAAATAATAATCAATTAATGACATGTATATGGAATGTCAGACTGGATCTTGATATGTGGCTTTTACAAACCTACTTTGGTTGAAGACAAACTTCTCTCATTCTGTTTGGACATAGTTCTGAAAATAAAGCATTTCACATAAATTTTATCACGCAAACACAATATAAAGTCATGTTATGCAACACATGGCTCACATCTAGCTGACCTCAGCTTCTTTAGAACAAATTAACATACACACACACATTCTCACAATGAGCTGCATAAACCGTACAGTGGAGGGTCAAGTCGCATCTTCTTGGTTGGGCACAGCGCTGGTTTCTTGGCCACGATGTCTGGTGTACCGATGTCATACGTCACATTGAGATCAATGTCCTTGCCGTCTGCAGGGTGGTGGAGGTGAGGCTGCTTCAGCTCCACTGGCGCCGGGCTGACAGGCAGGCAGAAAAGCCTCATCAGTAAACACACATGGCTTATCTTTTTATGAAAATGTATCAACGTGTGAGGAGACGCCAGGCCAGCAGCTAGATGGCACACACCTTTCAAAGACAAGCCGACTGAGAGCTTCGTTCGTCCGTGTCGGTGTACTCAGAGTCTTTTGTAGAAACTCCACCTTCTTTTTCAGGCTCTGTGGAAAGATGTGCGTGCAGTAATTACAACTATGGATTTCTCTGATATCAAAAGTCAAAATACATTTGTTTGAACTGCCTTACAGTGATCTCTTTGTCAGCATTGGCCAAATCGTTCTGGACAGACTTCATGTCCTCTTTGGTCTGATTCACCTCGATAGTGGCCTTTTGTAACTAAAATGACAAAAAATACTTCAGAGTTTTCACGTTCATGACTCGGCTCCTCTGGCTGTGGATTTGTGACACACATATAAAGCTACCTTGTTGTTTGAGGACAGCACTTCTCGCTTCAGCTTCTCACACATGTCATTTGAAGACTTGAGGCTTCCTTTTAGATTATCATACTCTCTGAAAAAGAATGGGAAAGGTAAATATATGATGACAAAAATCTATAAATCTACAAATTCTGTAGTGTAAAATGATCTGCCAGTTACAGTATGTTCACATTAAACTGGTTAAATATGTAAACAGATCTTTTTCTCTCTGTTCTAGACCTCTGTCCAGACTAAGCAGCACTATTTTAACCCCAAAACAGAGCTTTTCCAAAATCATGTTCAGGGTGGATATATGTGAAAACAATGGCTTGATGCTTCAGTAGTGCTACATTTTACATAGTTTCTTCCAAAACAAAGCTGTAAGCCAGGCCACTACATTTTACATTGTTTCTTCCAAAACAAAGCTGTAAGCCGGCCAACACAAGGTCGAGGATTGTGTGGTATTAAACTTAAGACCATCTTTAGTTTCCACAAACGTTGTCTGTGATCGTTCATTTCAAATGCCAATATAACACGACATATTGTGCTTAACTGGATTTTATACATGGTCAGTTGTTCAGAACAACTCTATGTCAAATCTGGCAGCATTAAAACACAGTACCAGTGCCCCATAGAGTGGCAGGACACTGAATAGAGGTATAATGAGCTGACACTCAGCTGTGTGTGTAAATTCACACACATTCAACTTAAGAAGACATCAAACTTCTTCTATGGTCATACATTTTAAATGTTTACATTATATAGCTGATCATACATCACAGCTGTGGTTTTTAACCTGTGTTTGTATCAATTTAATCAGATGACATTCCTCCACAGTCAAATAATAATTTGCTCAGTGGGCTGTCTGTCCCATTTCTTACCAGATGTTGCCTCTGAGGCACAGTTTAGCTTTTTTGCCAACTGAACACAGAGGAAAAGGAAAGGCTGTTATGTTGTTCAGCCATTTCACCAGGGACACAGGGCTTTATAAAAATGACTTGAAAACATGGATGCTAACAAAATATTGAAATTTTAAAACTCAGATAGCTTATTGTGTCGACGTAGTCTCAGATATGGGATCCTTACTTTTTTAGAGAGATGCAGTAGATGGACAGCTGCTCCACAGCAGCCTGGCTGATGCCCATATCGGTGATCATGGACTCTACCTCTGTTCTCTGACCCTGTAACAGTATGTCCAGGCTGGGACCCAGCAAGCAGTGTGCACAGCATGAGTACAATTTTAGTTTAGGATGCAAGAAGAAACAGTACTGTACTGCACAGAGCTGAAAAATGTCATACTAAACTACTTATTGTTGATCACTAGGATGGATGGTCCTATTACTACTGAAATATATTGTAGACTTACATAATATTTTTACTGAACTTATCTGACATTTGTCACATTTGTAGTATAATCACTAATGTGACTTTTAAAACATGGCCCTGGTTAGAAGCCTAAATATGACAGTATTTATATGACTGCAGATACCATTCAAATGTTTTCAGTTTGGTCCTGAGTCTGTAGACTTCATCCTTGGTAGCTTGAACTTCATTCTGTTGTATCTCCAGGTACATCATCTGTTTCTGTCAGAGGTCAAAACATTGTATAAATATTTATATAAAAAATTTTCAAAAAAACAACAACATTTTTTCAAACTTTATACACCAATTGATTTTCAGATTTCAAACAATATGTGATTTGATTTTTGTAGAATTTGACAGTGGTTAAAGCAAAGCAACATTTCTTCCAATACTGCAAGATGTGTTACAACAACAACAACAAAAGAAGTCTATGATTTTCTAGTGGTTTTTGGCGTTTTACGTCCCAGCGCTTCTTTAAATTTGACACAAACATCCATTTGGATTCAAGGATTAACTGATAAGATTTTGAGATTCTGGTGGTCAAAGGTCAAGGTCACAGTAACCTCATGTCTGTCACATTCCTGTGAATCTTACTAGTTGTCAGAGGCATATAAACCACAGTGGTAAAACTAGTTTTTTGTTTTTTAAATTTGAGTGCAGTATTGCTAAAATTTATAAAGCTCGCTTATAAATCCAAGAAACTTTGATCAGTGCAATCCAAATCTCACCTGCCAACTTAGATATGACTGTAGATAACATCATATTAATGACAGAAATGATGTACCAAAATAAATACAAATAACTTTCATGCAGCTCAGTCCAAACTTTACATTTGCAAAAATTGGTGACAATTAAATCATATTTGAGACTAATAATATGAGTTTGTAGAAAAAAAAACTGATCTAAACAATGACCAGACAGAGTGACTTACTCTAAGAGCAGCGCAGAGTGTCTCCTTTTTTGTCATCTCTTTCTGCACATTGTCCAAGTCCCTCCTCTGCTTGTCCACAGTGCCCTTTAAATCGTCCACCTGCTTCTGTTTGTCCCGGCAGTCTTTCTCTACAAATTGATCAGTGATGAACCAGTGCTGCCTACTTTTAACAATCAAGTTTCACCATTACCACAACATAGCTGCATTTGTTACCTTTCAAGCTTAAAAGGACCTTTGTGCGATCCAGTTCATTCTAAGAAAGTGAGAAACAGACACAACAAAAACATGACACTAAATCCAGGCCACACAGTTTAATGGCAAGTAAGACTATATGTGGCATCAGTCCTAGCATAAGATTTCTTAGGCACAAACAGTTACAAGGAAGTTTTTGACTGGCTCAACTCTTCTCCATCAATGCCTTTGTAAATACATCAAAACCAACACTGACAAATTATTTAGATGCTGTACGTTTGGTACCTGCAAGGTTCCCGGGTCCGCTGTGCCTCCCCCATCTTCGCCAATGTCAAAGTACAGCTTGCTGATAATGTGTCTGGTGCTGACCTACACAAAGAGCCCAACAGTGTTTAGGAGGACTTGATTCCTCTGTTTTATGAGGTTTAGTCTGGGTTAGCAGCTATTTGGTGGTGCTTCATTGTCTAAATTGACTGTACCTGTTTCCTACACTGGGGACAGGTTTTTGTGGGGGCTGTCTGAAACCACTGGAGAAGGCTGGAAAGAGAGGAGAAATGGGTTAGCTAACCTTTAAAATGTGTCAGAAAGCCATGTGCTGTTGACGATTTGACTGTCTGTATCTGGTTACCACGCATTGTGGAAAGTGTGTCCGCAGTGGATGGCAGCAACATCTGCGGAGTGATCGAAGAAATCCGAGCAAATTGTACAATATGCTCGGAAAGGCATCTTACTATGAAAAGGGAAAAATCCGGATTAAATAAACCACATAGCATATAAATACACTCTCTCAATGTTACACTATCTTAAAGCATACATATGTACGTGTATGCAATGTGTAACGTTACATAACATTTCCCAGCTAATGTTAGCTAACACGTTACTAGCCTTTAACCTGAATATTTAGCGGTGCTAACATTAGGTCCCTTATCAACACACTTACCAAAAACACTTTATGTCACTGCATAATCCTTCGCAATAAAATCAAGCATCCCTAATTCTATACGTAATATCTCATTTTAAGGCAGTTATTGTGACACTAGCAGCCTGAATCTCGCCAGCCAGCACAGACATAGACATAGCGCTTAATCCATCGCTGTTGTTTCCCGGCTGTACGTTCAAACGTAAGATCCCGCCCCCTGAGCTGCGTTCAGGTACTCCTGATAAAAACGGTCAAGTGTAATTACTCCAGACCCCCATCTCTTATTTTACAAAAGATTGTAACACTTTTTGCTATGATTAAGTGTTCCAAAAGTGAAAAAAGCTTTTGTTTAAAACGAACAATATTTTAATCACAGGAGCTAAGGATCTAACAAATTTATTACCACTCATTTGCTGTACATTCATTCACATGCATACCCACTGTGAGGGTATACATGAATGATAAACATTGATGATGACAATGATTACAAATATTTCATTTTTTAAAACGCTAAATAAATATTTTTGAAATTAATTGATGACGCATTTTCAAACCAAAGAGAACTGGTGTTCCCGGTTTTCTGTTGTGCCTTATAGATTAATAAAGAAATCCCCGTATTTCAACCTGTTAGTGATGTCCAAAGTGCTATGAATGCACCATTAGAATTAACCCTAGAGAAATGCACAAAATACGTATTACAGTATGCAACATAGAGCTACCACACTGATTCAAAATGATTTTTCCAATATTTTAAAAAATGTTATTCTGATGAAAGTGGCCGTTTTACATCTATAGAGCCGTTTTCTTACATAGAACTTCATATCCCACAATTCCTACATCCGCACCCGATAAGGGCACGTTGACTAGCAAGAGGAAGTAGGTTCTTCTGTTTTGTCCATGTTTGTTAGTTAGCTATAGTAAAGTAACAAGCAAGCTGTGGGGACCAAAGATCAAATGCAGACAGCTCTGGAAATGAAAGGTAACTCTTTGGAAACAATTTAGTGAGTCGCGAAAGTTCTGTGTAAGAATAAAATTAGCGAATCCAGATCCAGCTAGCTTTAAATGCTGTTGACTATTTGCTCAAGGTTGCAATAAAAGTAGCCTTAGAAGTTGTAACTTACCATGTTAGATAACAGAGGGTGTGAAAAAATGACTTACGTAAAGAAGGAGGATGTAAACACGAAGGCCAAAGGTTACACTCTCATAAGTGTCTCACTTTGTTTTCAAGTTTTAGTTTCACACTAGCCATTGTGACAGTGAGTTTTAGCCCTGAAGCTTTTCTGAAAATGAAAAGGGCTAAATCCAGACCATAATATTTTAATGATGCAGTCGACTGTAGCAATGCCATTATAATAGCACATAATTTCCAGCTTGATCTTTAGTCATAGCCTCAGTCATGAATCTTTTGACCTATGGTCCCATACAGTAGCTCTCTCTCTGTCTGTCCTGCCAGGTGTGTGTCCTTGCTATCAGTAGCAGTGATGGATGGAGAAGCCCCAAAGGCGGGTGTGTCATGGGACAGTGGTACTCTGGCTGCTGTCGATCGCCTTCGCATAGAGAGAGCGGACAGTCCCACACCAGGTCTGGTGGAGGGAACTGAGCCAGGTGAGGCTGGTCCATTCTTTCTGTAGATTGTCACATGGCAGTCAGACAGGCCTACAGTGTGTCTTAAGTCTGCTATAAATGTTGACAGTTTTAACAATTTTCAAAGGGTCAACTCTGTGAGAGGACTGGAAAAGATGTGAGCTCCTGCTCGCAAGCGCTTGAGACCTTTAGCTACAACATCCATTAAAAAGCCACCATTTTCACTCTGATTCTTATTTCAGAGACTCTCGTTTCGCTTGGATAAGTGAAGGAAGGAATGTAATTTTATTTGAGCATTATGCCATCTAATGGCCCACCCTTTATGGGATTACTGTAGACGAGCATAATGTTTACAGAACACCAGTGTCCCTTGTACAAAACATTGCCTCTAGTTGGGCTGGTCATGCATAGTCCTTGGATAAGTAAAGAGCCACTGTCTTGAATCCCAAGTAATAACTCTTCTGACTGTCAGTCATATAGGCCTACAGTGTCATTTAAAAACTTAAGTAACTTGCCTGTCAGTGATACATTATTAAATCTTTACATATTTCCTCACGAGGCATCCAGAAATGAAGACACTACACTGCAAAATGTAAGCCCTAATTGCTGCTTGAATCAACCCCATTTCAGAGAGAGAGAGAGAGAGAGAGAGAGAGAGAGAGAGAGAGAAAGAAATGTAAGTGAATTTTAATGGGTGTATTGTTATACTATGATAAAAACATGTTTAAAGTATGACAGAGAAAAATCCCTCGTGAACAGTGCACCATGAGTAGACTACATGGTTGCAAGGCAGTATCTGAGCACAACACCCAGTATGACTTTATGAAGTTGTGAAGAAAAGTTTTTAAATTAAAAAGTTCCCCATTTAACATTGCGCACTGCATCTGTGTGAGACAGCATGAATGTGCACATTCTGTCTGGGTAAAGAAATGCTGAACATAGGATCAGCGTCATTTGTATTTTGTAATCTGTATGCCACTTAGTTGACTGTCTCAGGGCAATGCTCTTGCTCTCAATGCTCTCACATTACCAGACAGTAACAACAGTAATAATCTCTATACATTTATATGATCAAAACTTAGTTCTTTTCCACAAACAATAATAATACAGATATCTGCTGACTCAAGTGTGGAAGAAGATTTTGAATAGTTTTCTAGCCTGTCTGCAGCAACTCACATCTGTCACTTTCACCTTAAACAATCTGGTACTGACTGGAGAAATGATGTAACTTTTCCTGGAGTTGCTCTTCCCAGTCTGGAGATAAACAGGACACTTTTGCTTTTTCCTGACTGACTCATTATGAGACTTGTCTTATTCTTCCCCAATGTTTTCCTTCTCTAAATTAGATAAGCTGTGACTGGAGTCTGTTCATTTCCATATTTGTGGCTGGAAACCATAGCCAAGAATAGGACTCTGCTTGTTTGTCACTAATAAACTCTTTATTGATAAACCAAATCAAACATCTGTTGGCTGATTATAGACTGAGGATAAAGGATAAAATCCTATCTGGCACATTGATGTAGAATGGAATTGGCAATCTCTGTATCATTTGCAAGCTTTTCAGCCACCGTTATGGCTAACAGTAGCCTCGTCTGGGACTGTCTCATCTGTTGCGTGGTAGTCTGTCCTGGATGGTTCCCATAGAAAAGTTCAGGAAAACAACCGTGTGCTACTCTTCAGCAGAGGTGGCGAAGTTACCCAAATGTGTAAATGGGTAACAAACTAAAGGAAAAACCTGTGTGAATGACTGAGTCAGATGACAATGTCCCCATCCATAAGGCATGAGGTCTCACCAAATTGTTTGCTGAGTATGAACATGATGAATCATATGCTACGGCCTTCACACTCGCCTATGGGAGATTTTGGACCAACATGTTAGACAGCATCTCCACCACCATCATCATCAAAACACCAGGGAATACTGTATCTTTTGGAAGAATGGTGTTCATCCCTTCAGCACAGTCCAGAGACTTGTAGAGGCAATGCCAAGTTGCACTGAAGCTATTCTGGTGGCCTGACACCTTACTGAGACATTTTATGTTGGTTTGTCTTTTTATTTGTCACCCATCTGTATATTTGCCAAAACAACCATTTAGTCTTCCTTCTTGAAGTATTTTTTCTTGTAAAGATAAAAGTACTGTATAAAAACACTTCTGATAATCCTGTTGAGGACTGTCTCAAGCTCAGTGGATGAGATGGTCCTGAATCTCCTAGGCCAACAACTAAAACAGCCTCCCTTACACTTTGTTTTATAGGGCTTCTTATTCATTCCTTACACATCCATGCATTATACTGACAAATATTTGATGATCATTTATCCCTACTTTAATCCAGGTGCTGGCCAGAAGAGTGCTATGTTCGTCCATGTACAGTCATTTGAAGATCTGACTGCAGAGGCTGTGGAAGAGGCTCGGAGGAAGGCTGAACTGGAAAAATCAGAAGGAGAGTGCTCAGAGGAGCTCAAGGTCCTGGTGACGGAGAAAACCCTAGAGGAGCGATGCAACCACAACATTTCAACAGAGAGCAGGTCTAAGGAGGAAGATGTGTCCAGTGAGGAGTGGAGGAGCCACAGAAAACATGTGTTTGTGCTGAGCGAAGCTGGAAAACCGATCTACACCCGCTACGGCACAGAGGAGGCTCTGTCCAGCACTATGGGGGTGATGATGGCCCTCGTATCTTTTGTTGAGGCTAAGAAGAACATCATCCGCTCCATTCATGCAGGTCAGAATAATGTGAAGAACTAAATGGGTCAAGTGTGCGTTTATGAAATGCTGAGTGTGATCTCTGTTAACATGTTTTGCTTCAGATGGCTGTAATGTGGTTTTCCTCACCAAGAGCCCACTGGTCCTTGTGGGCGTGTCTCAGAGCTGTCAGTCAGACAGGGAGCTGCTGCGGGAGCTGCACTACATCTACTACCAGATCGTCAGTCTGCTCACCCTCACCCAGCTCAACCACATCTTTCAGCTCAAGCAGAACTATGACCTGCGCCGTCTTCTTGCTGGCTCTGAGTATCTCACAGACAACCTGCTGCATCGGCTAGACCGAGACCCTGCCCTGCTGCTCAGCGCGGTTACCCGCCCGCCTCTCGCCAGCCTCGCCCGC